GGCAGAGAGGCAGGCCTGTCTTTGATTCAGAGGCAGGAGGGAATGATTGGGTACGGTTAGATAGTCACTTCAGTCCAAAGAGATCTCTCCCAGTCACCGCTACTAAAGACAGCATGTGAGGTTGCAAACTCCAACGTCTACTGCACAAGAAGACGGGTTGAACATCTTTGAGTGTTTGTTCTCCTGGCATAGCATGTTTGGCCTATTTCACATTTTGTGACACCGCATAGCCTTGCACAAGACTGATGGCTTATCTTTCTGTTGTTAACTGAGGTCGGCAAGATTCAGAGAGAACAAGTCAGACAGCGTGACAGTGCAGGAGAAAAGATGGCTAAAATAAAAAGATGACGAAGAATCCCAAAACATTTTGCTCAGACTAAGAGAATGGAGGGGAAAATAGAAAAATTCAGCACAGCAACATAGACTAGAGTAGACTAGATAGTATTTGAGTGCCACCTACACCATCCTGCACCTCCTTTGCCGCCATTATCCTCCTTCCCGGATGGCATGAGACTCAATGGTCTCACATAAGCAAACAGAGTGGGGTGGGTTGGAACTGGATATTTAAGAGAGGCTCCTCCCTCTTCTCGTCCTCTTTGCTTCTGGCTACCTGCCCTCCCACCCTATATACTAGTGTGAGCTTTTACTGGCCGCTGGTTTTGGAGCCAGGTAGGAATTTTTGACCCGCATCCTGATTAGCTATTGGAAGCGGTGATTTTTCACCTATCCCACACTGGTTAGGGGATTTAGGTTGTATCATTTGGGCTATAATTGGTCACACAGCGGGGCGGTGCAGATACAACAGGTTTCGGTGAAACTGGTTAGGGGGATTTAGGTTGTATCATTTGGGCTAGAATTGGTCACACAGCGGGGTGGTGCAGATACAACAGGTTTTGGTGAGTCCCCTTGCAACTACAGGTAGGGTTTAGGCCATCTGATCTCCCACCACTGCTGATCGTGCGATTAAAGTTCTTGGGGGGGGGAGATGTGCTGGGGCTGCTCCCAGATCAACAATGAGACAGGGGCTTGAGATCCGGGGGTGGTCAAGTTTGGGCCGGCCGGGTCCTCGCTGTTTTCATGACCTCAGGAACTTGGGGGCTCAGGACTTGCCCATTATATTGGTTAGGGGTCCACTGAGACCCCTCTACAGAACCTGATTCCACACTACCGCAGGTTCCACCACCTGCCTTTTGGAGGAACTTGGGGGCTCAGGACTTGCCCATTATATTGGTAAGGGGTCCGTTGAGACCCCTCTGCAGAACCTGATTCCACACTACTGCAGGTTCCCCCCTCCTTTTGGTTGAAGGCATTAACAAATATTTAATGAAGTGTGGCCCTTATTTTATTTCATAGCTATTGTCTCGTGTCTTTATTCCAGGGTAGGGGGGAATAATGTTCTTATGCTTTATGTCAGAGACTGATGGATAGAAAAGATATGAAATTTAGCAGCAAAACTCCTCCATTAGAGGGCGCTGGCTCCCGTGCCAGAATGAAATCAGCCAGTTTGGCTGCCTTTGGGGGCGTGGAAGAGGAAAGAGGCAACTTCTCCGGCCCATTTGTGGTTAGGCTGAACACTCTTAGTAAAAGTGACTTAAGTGCTTCACTTTCCTCTGATTAAAGCAGATCCTTTTCTTAGTCATTTCCCCAGAAGGCCGGCCTTATACCCGATATAAACATCCTCTCATAATTTGCCTGATTGGAAAGAGTGACAATGTACAGCTGTTTCTTGAGAAAAAGGATATGAAAGCTGATATTGAGATATGAGAACCAACTTTGAAGGTACAGTGGTGCCTCGCTTTACAACTGCCCCGCATTACGACAAAATCACTCAACGACGATCTTTTTGCAATTGCAATTGTGATCGCAAAACGATGATCTGAATGGGGGAATTTCACTTTGCGATGATCGGTTCCCTGCTTCGGGAATCAATTCTTCGCAAAACCACATTTTCTGAACAGCTGATCTGCAGTTTCAAAATGGCCGCTGGGTGATTAAAATGGCTCCCCGCTGCGTTTAGGGATGGATTCCTTGCTATATAGGCAGCGAAAATGGCCTCCATATGGAGGACCTTCTCTGGACAGTGAGTTTTTACCCCATTGGAATGCAGTGAACGGATTTCAATGTGTTTCAATGGGGTTTTTATTTTCGCTTTACGATGTTTTCACTCAACGGCGATTTTCCTGGAATGGATTATCGTCATTAAGCAAGGCACCACTGTAAAAGAAACTTAAAGAAAACCTGCAGCAAGGGCTGGAGACAAAATCTGTGGCTCAGCATGGGCTGATCATTTCATGTCCTTGGACATCTTTCATTTCCCACTCATTCAAAGTCCTTTCCATGCAGGTTCCATGTATTCTTTTAGAAGAAAGTTGGTAAAATCCACATCCATTTTTGTGGGCATGTGCCAGTGGATGTTCCTGGTAGATTCTGTGCAATAACCCCATGTGTATTTTTGAAGAAGACTCATTAAGGATTACAAGTGTTTCATGAACCAAATCTGTGTGCATGTTGGAAATTCGTTCAGTGTTTTCTGCATTTTTCAGAGGCGCGCATGTTGTCAAAGGCATTTTCTCTCATGTTCGGCAAGCTCAGACATGCATGGATTGCTGATCATAACTTTTCCATTTCTGCATTTGGTCCAGGGTGTCTTGGCTGGATGAATCTGTACACAAACAGTCTTGTCTGTATTTCATGGTCACTCGCCAATAAGGACAGGCATGGGGTGCATTTCACAAGAACTTACCTCTTTCAGCATCCTGCATTCATTTAATACTTAACATGCAAGGGCAGATATACTGCATTGTAGAGGCATGTACTATACTCATGAGTTATGCTAACATACCCCTTCTGCATCTCGACTTTCTCCACCACAACCCCCCCACCCCCAAATCCTGAAGACACTCTCAAGCATAGTTTTCATTTGCAAGTTGATTTTGGAGATGCAGCAGCTTTAAAGGACCCTGTCTTTTAAGGGAAAACATTGCATCGAAGGTTGGGGACCACTGCTTTAAAGGACCCTGTCTTTTAAGAGAAAACATTGCATCACCTTCTTGTTGCTAAGCTAGCGTTTCGTCTATCATGACCTTCTGTCCTTACTGCAGAGTGCCTATTGTAAGGCTTTTCCCAATATATTTCTGTACTTCTGTAAATCTTGGGAGTTCCCCAGTGCTGTGGATGATGCTTCCCTCTTACATTTCAATGGTGTCATTTGACTGCACAAGCCACGATATTTGCAGTCTGAGCATTAGAAAGGAAGGATGGCCTATCTTGAATGAATAGCTTTCTCTCTAATGAGTAAGAAGTGGTGAGGACCATAGATAAGGATTCATTGTCATTTCTCCCACAGCCCATCTGAAGACAGGATTGACCAGTCAAATGTGTATGGGGGTGTCAAGAGTTGCTAGTTTGGGAAAAGAGAGAAAGAGAGAGAGAGAGATTAGGAAGAGTTAAATTAGGAGCATCTCATAATGACAGAGTGTGCCTCTTTGGAAATGAGTGGAAGCTTCTGTATGTGTTCTTCTAAATACAGTATTCTCAACTTGTGCATTTGTACACAATATCGAAACTGTGAGAAATGTCTTTAGTCTTCTCTTGTTCCAAAATGAACCCTCAGTAAGGCTGGGATTCCTTACTGCTCAGGAAAGTGGATAGCACAGAATAATGATTCCTTTTGAAAAATAATTTATTACATTTCCCCCTTCAACAACCTTGGGTTTAGGGCCACCAGACCACCCCCACCCCCATGTAGCTCACAATCTGAGTATAACTCTTACACACACACACCCGAAGCATAACAATTTATTACATTTCCCCCTTCAACAACATTGGGTTTAGGGCCACCAGACCACCCCCCCATGTAGCTCACAATCTGAGTATAACTCTTACGCCCCCCCAAAGCATAATTACAAAGCATAAATGGCTGATGAACACACACAGCTAATAGTTCTTTCTGTCAAGCTTCTCTTCCATAGTGTTAATTATCCTTTTCATATAGAACTGTGTGTAATGAGCCTTAAAGGTCCTTGTGACCACCTGGTCTAGAGGCTGAATTAGAGATGTCGTGTTAGAGATCCGTGTTCAGCTGGAATAATACAAACATGGTCATTGACATTCATATATGTATTTGAGAGTATCCAAGCTTCATAGAAGGTTTTGTTGCGAATGCTCACAATTCTTCTCATCCTTGATTTACAAGGACATTTTGACACCTCAAGACGTCTTGTTGAAAACATTGTCAGCCACTGTGAAACGTTTTGCTCTTTTACAAGATCAAAAAGACCCATTTTTTTTCAGCAGCAGCAGTAGTATTATCCCCAAAACTGGAGAATCACGCGCGCGCGCACACACACACACACACACACACACACACTTGTGCTTCACCTTTTAAAAATCCCTTGTGTTTTGTTCCAAATGTATATTGGTCAAAACATGTGTGTTTGCATTTTTTAAAAAGAGTATAGATTTTATTTGTGTATTTGAAAATGTGCACATTGCCAAGTGCCTTTGTGCTCTCTCTCTCTCTCTCTCTCTCTCTCTCTCTCTGTGTGTGTGTGTGTGTTTTCCTTCATATAATCTATCATAGGTTTGGGAATGAATGGCTATCCTTGTTGCAAATGATTCAATGTTTGTGCCCAGTCCTAAAGGGTACAGTTTGCACATATTGTTTAAAACAAACAAACAAAACCAGGCATTTAACTGAGTGGGTTCCTTGCACATCCCGAGATCCCAGGTAATAAGGAAGTATTCCACTTGAAATGTTGAGCAGCAGCTTTTTCCATCGTTCCACTAAAGAGAAAGGAGAAAGGTGTCACAGCTGAGAAGCGAGCTGGACCTGGTTTTCGTTATAGGCTTGCACAAGATTGGACTTCCTCATTATTACTGACACTATCTCATTCCACAGAGTAACGGCCTTGATTCAAATGGTTGTGGTTGGAAATGAGTTCTTTTTTCTGCTGATGACCTCACTTCCTGCAGAATGTGAAATGAGTACACCTCGTGAGACCAGACATACACTTGGGTTGTCTCCAACCACTGTCTGTCACACACAGCATTCAAGCCTGGATGACAAAGGCTAAGCCAGTAAGTGGACCATCTCGGGAAGGTTGTAGATCCGCTGCTCTGTGAAGACGGAATATTCTACTAGAAAACAAGTAAGGTTGGATGCTGAAGGAATTGATATGACCTTGGAAAAGGAAGGTGTCAGGATAGCTCGATGGTGTAGGTTTATGGCTGTAGAGTCAGCAGTTGGGAGTTCAGAAGGAATTGATATGACCTTGGAAAAGGAAGCTGTCGGGATAGCTCGATGGTGTAGATTTACGGCTGTAGAGCCAGCGGTTGGGGGTTCAGTTTCTCCACTGTGCATGCTGGGAGAAGAGCTAGCTTGTGTAGCCTTGGGCCACCTGCACAGTCCCAGGGCATCCCCAGAAGAAGGGAATGGTAACCACCACCACCCTGTGTATTCTCTACCTGGAAAACCCTGAAAAGGGTCCCCATACATTAGAATTGTTCTATACCTGGAAAACCCTGAAAAGGGTCTCCTTACATTAAAAGGGACCCTACGGATCATCGAGTCCAATCCTTGTCAAAGAGGCACAGTGGCAGGTGGTTATTGGTTATTACTGAAAAAGAAAACTATTCTAGTAAAATAGTCACAATTAAATTTGTTAATACAATTAGTTTTTATTATTTATTATTCCTCTTCCTATAAGATGTGGGTAATGTATGAAAAAAAGATATATGCTCATAATTTGTTGGGGAAAATGCTTTGTTTTCTGAGTGACGCTATCCAAGGAATTGCTTCTTCTTTTTTAATTGTGGAGAGGGGAACTCAAATGGAAGGTTGCACAGAATTAAAATGTAATATTTCAAGAAACCAAACTCAAAATTCATATGATATTAAAACTTACTTCCCCCCCCACATCTAACTGTTACACCTGGAATGCAGCTGTAAGAATGACTTCAGAACAGGAATTTTCCAGGAATAGCAATGCTAGTCTGTTACAAGAAATACAATAAAAAGATTTTGTAAATAGTTGTTGTGGGGTTTTTTGGGCTCTTTGGCCGTGTTCTGAAGGTTGTTCTTCCTAACGTTTCGCCAGTCTCTGTGGCCGGCATCTTCAGAGGACTGGAGTAGGAACTCTTACTGATAAATACTCAATTCCCAAACAAACTGCACCAGAGCACAGAGTGCTACTCCTGTCCTCTGAAGATGCCGGCCACAGAGACTGGCGAAACGTTAGGAAGAACAACCTTCAGAACATGGCCAAGGAGCCCAAAAAACCCACAACAGCCATTAGATCCCAGCCGTGAAAGCCTTCACGAATACATTTTGTAAATACTTAATACTAAACATGGGGTGTTTTTTTTTTACATAAGGTTTTATGCAAGGCTGCGTTCTTCACTCAAGTCAAAGAAAAAATGTTTCTAGGGTGGCATGAGGCTTTTGTTATTAACATAAACACAGAGGTTGCTGTGGTAGTGGTTGATACTCATAAGCACATTTTATTGTTTATTGAGGGACTGAACCAGCTTCCTACTGCAGGGCTAGTGATGAAGTTTGAACGAATCAATGAACGCTGCTTAGAATGTATTTCAAATATAGAAGGTTGTTTCTTGAGATATATATATATACATCAATAAGAGACTGAAATACGTATATATATCACTACGTCTCCCAGAATTTCCCATTCAGCACAGTTACTGGGAGTTATAAATTTGGTCCAATCAGAGGGCTGAAACTGTGACTCGTTACCCCAAAATATGGGGTAAAATACACCCACTGGAAGCCTTGCAGAATGATTCATCTAATATTGTTGTTGTTGTCGTTTAGTCATTTAGTCGTGTCCGACTCTTCGTGACCCCATGGACCAGAGCATGCCAGGCCCTCCTGTCTTCCACTGCCTCCCAGAGTTTGGTCAAAGTCATGCTGGTCGCTTCGATAACACTGTCCAACCATCTCCAACTATTATATTCATCTAATATAATAGTTCCTAATCTTGGTTCCCCAGATGTTCTTGGTCTAAAACTCCCAGAATCCTTCACCACCTATTGTTCTGGCCAGGATTTCTAGGAGTTGTAGTCCAAGAACATCTGGGAACCCAAGACTGGAAACCACCAATTCGAACATACTGTAAATCACATTTCATCATATTCTGAGTCATGATCAGGACACTCTTGCTCTCTCTGCCTGTCTCCCAATATAGCTTCTAGTTCTTGGAATCAAATGCCTCCAATCTCTAGGCATGAGATGTGCAATGAAATGGCATGTAAGGACCTAAGAACAGAAACCATTGCTATAGAACAGCCTTCTCTAATCTGATGCTTTTCAGAAACACTATTCTGACCATCTCCAGACCATTGGCCATGCTGGATAGGGATGGTGGCTTTTGGTAGACCAATCCATCTGGAAGGGATCAGGTTGAAGAAAGCTGGCACCTTTAGAGGGGAGGGAACCATGCAAGTGTACAGTGGTGCCTCGCTTAATGGCGATAATCTGTTCCAGGAAAATCGCCATTAAGCAAAAACATTGTAAAGCGGAAATAAAAAGCCCATTGAAACGCATTGAAAACCTTTCGATGCGTTCCAATGGGCTTAAAACTCACCATCCAGCAAAGATCCTCCATACAGCGGCCATTTTTGCTGCCTGTATAGCGAGGAATCCGTCCCTAAACACAGCGGGGAGCCATTTTATTTATCCGGTGGCCATTTCGAAACTGCCGATCAGCTGTTGAAAAATCATTGTTTTTGTGAAGAATCGGTTCCCGAAGCAGGGAACCGATCATTGCAAAGCGAAATTTCCCCATTTAGAGTATCATTTTACGATCGCAATTGTGATCGCAAAAAGACCGTCGTAATGCGGATTCGACGTAATGCAGGGCAATCATAAAGTGAGGCACCACTGTATTCTGTAAGATGTTTCCTTGAGAACTGAGAAACATTCCATGTATTTTACCACCTGATAAATGTCTGCCTTCCTTTTCAGGTCCTAAGAGGATGGCATCTAAAACTGCGGTCCTAGCCGTCTACATCTTTGCCTTTGTCATAGGCCTCCCTTCCAACCTCTTGGCCTGCTACTCCTTCCTGAGGAAAGTGCGCCAGAAGCCGGTCCCCATAGACATCCTCTTGCTCAACTTGACCCTGTCCGACCTTTTCTTTCTTCTCTTCTTGCCTTTCAAGATGGTGGAAGCTGCTCAAGATCACATCTGGAACCTCCCTTATTTCCTTTGCCCGCTGGTCAACTTCTTGTTTTACAGTAGCATCTACCTCAGCACCCTCTTCCTCATGGGGGTGAGCGTGGAGCGCTATCTCTGCGTGGCCCACCCAGTCAAGCACAAATTAAACCGCCGGCCGACCTATGCCAGAGTGGCCAGCATTATCTTCTGGATCCTGGCCTGCTCCCATTGCCTCAGCATTGTCTATGTTGTGGAGTACTATGGACACGAGAAGAAAGAAGAAGAAATCAGGTGTTACAGCAACTTCTCCACTAATCAGCTTCATATTGTCCTCCCTTTCCGCCTAGAATTAAGCATTGTCCTCTTCGCCATCCCCTTCGTTGTCACCTTTTTCTGCTACGTCAGCGTCATCCGCATCCTCACCATCATGCCTAACATCAAACCCAATAAGAAGCAACGGGCCGTGGGTCTGGCTTTGGCCACTCTGCTCAACTATGTCATTGCCTTCGCCCCCTACAATATCTCCCACATCGTGGGCTTCTTTCAAAACACGGAACCTTCGTGGAGGGAGGAAACCTTCTTCCTCACCTCTCTCAACACCACCTTGGACCCTGTGATCTTCTTCTTCTCCTCGGCCACCATCCGCCAAAGCTTTAATGCCTGCTGGCTCCGTCTGCGCTCATTTGTTGTCTCACTTTGTTGTTCATGTTGCATCAGTGCTCCTGAATGCAGTGCCAATGCAGCAGGAGGTGGGCAGTTATCTGCTTCAAATATATTGGACTTGGCAGGAACTAGTACACCCATTCCTTACTCAAAATCTGCCACATCAGAGTCTTGAACATCCTACAAGAATGATTTGGCAGATAAGGCCTGTGCTGAGAAGAGAAGAAACTGGAGCCCGGGACTTTGTTTTGTGTATCAGAGTTCACAAAACGTTCACCTGAGGAATCCAATGCAGTGTTAGGGTTGCTTCCAGATTTGGGCTGGTGTCTTCAAAAAGCAACCATCTTTCTCTGCCCATCTCCTGTTATGGAGATCGAACAAGATAATGCTTCTGTCGGGTATCCACACCAGCTAGCTGAGCATACTGTACATGCAGAATGCCCTTATTAGCCTATCATTAGTCAACGGAAGAGGGACGTGGTGGCACGGCAGGTTAAACCACAGAAGCCTCTATACTGTAAGGTCTGTAGATCTTCAGCTGTAAGATGAAATACATGCGACGGAGTTAGCTCCCGTCGCTTGTCCCAGCTCCTGCCAACCTAGCCGTTTGAAAACATGCAAATGCGAGTAGATAAATAGGGACCACCTCGGTGGGAAGATAATAGTGTTCCATCTGGCCATGTTACCACAGAAACTGTCCTTGGGCAAACGCTGGCTCTACGGCTTGTAAACAGGGATGAGCACCACCCCCTATAGTCGAACACAACTGGACAAAAATTGTCAAGGGGAACCTTTACCTTAGTCAATTGAGCCTTTATTATATTTTGTGAGAGCTACAGGAGATGGTTGATTGACCCACTGGTGGACCGAGGCAGTGGAGATGAATGCCTGGGTAATGCAGTTACATGGAGCCAAGAGGTCCGAGTAGTAAAGTACAGAAGATTGTTAACAGTATGGGCAGTGTTGAAGGATAGAATCAGGAGATTAGAATGGGTGCCAAGAGAGCACCATACTCGAAGGAATCAGAAAGCAAGAACTGGGTATTGATTTAAATAACACCTCTTCTATCCTTTATTTTTAATTTATGGAAACAGACTACAAAAATGTGTTTTTGTGTTTGGACAGAAAACTCATCTCAACCACCACAGCAATACTTCAACTGTTACATTTTGTTGTAGGCATTTAAAATATTTGTATACATACTGTTTTTGCTTTCGGATATTGTCTTTCTAATGGTGTAAGCTGGCTTGGGTCTTTTTTAAGGAGAAAAGCAAGGTGATAGATAGATAGATGGATGGATGGATCGATGGATGGATGGATCGATGGATGGATGGATCGATGGATGGATGGATCGATGGATGGATGGATCGATGGATGGATGGATCGATGGATGGATGGATCGATGGATGGATGGATCGATGGATGGATGGATCGATGGATGGATGGATCGATGGATGGATGGATCGATGGATGGATGGATCGATGGATGGATGGATCGATGGATGGATGGATGGATGGATGGATAATCAAATAAATAAATAAATGCTGCTTAACTGTGCAGCTAGTAAGTCATTATCAGAAGGGCTGTAAGTCAAAGAGAATGCATCCTTTGCAAAAGTTCAAGGATGGATGGATGGATGGATGGATGATCAAACAAACAAACAATAAATGCTGCTTAACTGTGCAGTTAGTAAGTCATTATCCAGAAGGGCTGTAAGTCAGAGAGAACGCATCCTTTGCAAACGTTCAGGAGCAGCTGATCCCATTCAACCCTGAGCCTAATTTTGATAGTTCTTTGCAAATCATCAGTTCAGGTTCTCCACCAAGGAAAGTTCATTCTGTCGTGGCCATGCTGCTGGTGTGACATTCTGGAGTCCTTGCCCATGAACGTTTTCTCAAGCTGCAAAGGATTGATTTGTGAGCTTGTGGGGAATTCCAGAGTTAAGAGTCCACAAGTATAATCTCTCAAGCTTTGGACATATTTCCTTAAAAGTCAGTCTGCCGTGGAATGAAAAAGCAAGCAAGCAAAGAGAATGGTGGAAACAGAGTAACATGGTGTGGGGAGGGAGAGAGAAAATGGAGTTTTTTTATTTGCAACCTGACATGCTGCCTTTAGTAGGTCTGGCTGAGAGGGACCTTTCTGGGCTGTTGTAACTGTCAATTACTAACAGCACTAACCAACAGTTCTTTCCTTGCCTGTGATTCAGAAGAGAGCCATGCCTCTCCATGAAGAGTTATTTCCTTCTCCTGAGTCTGCTGAGGCCTGCTGCTGCTGCAAGCAGTCGTGTTTCTTCTCATTTTTGTCTGCTGAGGCCTGCTGCTGCAAGCAGTCATGTTTCTTCTCAGTTTGCTATTTGATCTGTTCACTGTAAATAAATGAAATGCTGTTATTCTTTCTTCTTACAAATGTTTCCGAGTGAGTTATTGAGACTATAAGTGTCAGTTGATGGAATGTAACTTTCTTAATCATGGTGCTTTTCCTCTGCTTCTCCTGCTTCATAGTGGGTCTGTTGTGGGACTGAACGCCCACATCTCTAGTACCGACTCATCCCGACAGAGAGGGGAATGTTTTTCTTCTGCCTCACCTTGCAAACAATCACAGCAATAGGTACACATGAATAGGTACTATGGATAGATGGATGAAATTGATGGGGTTTAAATCAGAGTTGGGTGATGACGCAACTGGGCCACCAAAGCTGGGTGGGGAAGCAAGCTCATGAGTCTCTCTGAAGTCTCCAAAGGGCTGTTGGGGGGGGCAGCAAAACTTGGAAAGCAGGGAGAAGTTCAGAATTCATCCCAGCCACAGATATTTACTTAGGGTCCAAAATGAAGACTGTAAATGTGAAGATCCTGCTGGAGGTGTGCTATCACCACAGTGAAGCTTCTGAAGGTTGAATTAAATGGTCTATGGCTACATCTATAGAAGGTGTTTGTGGGGGGTGTACATAGAATTATAATCATAATCTTAGATCTGCAGAGCTGGAAGGGACCCTGTGGATCATTGAATCCAGCTCCTGTCACAGAGGAACACTGGGGAACCAGAGTCTCAGCTTCTGGATTCACAGCCAGATGCCTAAACAAAAGATGAAATATTTGTTTTTGTATCTCCAGGGATATGAATATGAATATCAGCACCACAGGTGCCTGGGGAAACAGGACCCTCCCCCTAGAACCGGCCAGTCCACAAACCATTCACTGTGTGGTGTGCACAACCGTTGTCGCTTGTGTCACACCAGTTGCGTAAGTAGCCCAGCCAGTACTTCTCCACCTTCCTGCTCAGCTGACAGCTCAACTAAGCGGGGAGACTGGTCATCCTGCCTCCTCACTGGGATTGGGAGGGGAACTGCCGGCCAGGCTACTTCCACAATTGGTGTGACATGAACAACAACGGCTGTGTGTCCCACATGGCAAGGGGTAAGTGGAACAGCTGGTTCTCAAGGCTGGTCCAGCTTCCCCAGTCTCCTGTGGTGCTGATATTCATAGATATTGGGATGTGAATACAAATATCCTATCTCTAGCCTAAATCCCCGAGCTATCCAGTAGTTCAGTGGCTACATGAATGGTGTGTGTCTAAGTCAATGGACGGTGTGTATGAGTATCTACAGAATGTGTGTGTGTAAATGATGGGGCCCAGGATGCTTCTCAGGTAGCAATCCATCCTACAGGTTAAAAGGTTTCGCACACCTGTGATTTAAAATAAAAGAAAGAATGAAAATTGGATGAAGACTGTTTCCATTCCCATCTTGACTGCTTAGGTGCAGGTGTATTGGAACATGCAGAGTGATCATACTAAAGTAAGCCTGCCAATTACCATTCATCTACTCACTTGCAGTGAGCTGAGATCACATTTAGGCCACGAGGCGCAAAAACTTTCATAAAATGTCAGTCAGTCAAGTTCAGTTGGCCAATGTGCTGCAAATGACTACCAGAGATTTGAGCATTGGTGTTTTGTTATATATTTATTTATTCAAAATATGGCTACCCTGCTTTCTTCTTAGGAAAGACCCAAGGTGGGCTCTGCATCAGAACAATTTTCAGTGCCAAAATTGTCCAGGGCACAGTCTTTGATCTAAACAGATGACACTTGCCATGGAGTCCTTCACTGGTCTTCTTCCTTTGATGACATGGGCAATGAAGATGTGGAGGAATGGATCCATGCGTGTGTGACTGACATGTACACATCCTTCTTCCATGAACATGTGTCTTGCACTCCTTCATACACTGAACCAAGACTTCATTTTTACCATGTTTAGTCTTGGCATCTGTGAACGTCAGTCTTAGAATCTGACGCTGCCAGTTTCTCTAAGAAGGAGGAGGTGCATATTGTTCAACAGCGAATAACCACCATATAACCAGACAGTCTAAACAAGCCCAGGTCAGCTGCATTTAGAAATATTTGAATTCGAACATCTCTTATTCTAAAAATACCATGCTTCACGGAAGTTATACTTGAACAGAAACTATGCAGCATGTGAAATGCACCCCAAGCTCAAACTTTGGAACTGCATCTCTTTTCAGCATCACAAGCACCATTTTCAACTTTTGAAGAACCTTCTGCAGGTCCCTTTCATCATCACCCAATTCCTCTTTGAATAATAATAACAAAAAAATGGGGGTACTGAGAACTAATACACTCAGCCCAGAATCCTGTGAGTTACATCTCCATTGGCATAAATCCCAGCTACAAATTGGCACATTAGGAAATTGCCATTAGGATTTCTTATCACACCCTGGTCACATTTTATTCTTATTGTTATTCTTATTACTCAACAACACCAGGTGGAATAAAGTAAGCATTAAAACTGTCTTAATTCTAAGAAGGCATTCAGGGATTCAATTACGTATGATTCTTGAAAGCCTGCCTAAAGTGACAGGTCTTTAGCTATCGGTGGAAGGATAAAAGGGAAGGGGCCAGTCTGATCTCTCAAGGGAGAGCGTTCTGCCAGAGAGAAAGCCCTCTCACATATCCTCATCAGTCATGTCTGCTTTTGCAGTAGGACTGATAGAAGGGCCTCCTCTGATGATCTTAAACACCAAGAAGGCTCATATGGGGATAGATGTTTCTTCAGATGGCCTGGACCCAAGCGGTATGACTTGGTATGTAATATTAAATGCTTATGCTGAATTCTTGTGATTTCCCAGAACTTATACCAATGGAGTTATGCCAGCATAAACATGCAATAGGATTCCTCCACTTAAAGCTTCCCCTTGGAATTTCTTCATTACTCCCTAGAACAGTGGTTCCCAGATGTTCTTGGACAGCAACAGCCAGCAGTATCTGTGCTGGCCAGGACTTCTGAGAGAATGTCTGATGACCCAAGGCTGGGAACCCTTGCCCTAGGAGGTAGCTCTCTGGTTTGGGAATCAATGTTGCAGTAAATCTTATGGGAAATTGTCTGACCTCAACACTAACACATCTGCTTTCCGTTCTCGTATTGTAATAGCCATCTAGGGGAATTTGCAAATTTGCATCACCCGTGTTTTATTTTTGACTTCTCCAATGTTGGCCAAGGAAGACACTACCTCAAAATGACATCACCATCTTATGACACATTTTCCATTAAGTAGATGTTACAGTAAAAGGGTGGGTGGAACTGGGTGTACGACAGCCTTCTGAGTCAGCAAACACAGGAATGGAAGTACAGTATTTGACTAGCTAGATGTTGCCAGACTGCATTTCCCATCATTCCTCAGCTTTGGTTATTCTAGCTGGGAGTGATCGGAGTGGTAGTTTAGTAACACCCAGAGTGCCTCTCCGTTTACTATCCTTCCTTTTGTATAATGCCTGATATAATTCTGACATTGCTGACTTTGCTGGGTTCCAAATATTCCTTTTTCCTCAGAAAGTCTCACTCACAAGATTAATTAGCTCCATGGGAGCAGGACATTCTAGTCACCCTGTTTTAAACCCTGTGTGTGTGTGTGTGTGTGTGTGTGTGTGTTTAAAAAACACAGGCATGCCACTTTGTATCCGTTAAAAAAAAATCCGCAGTAGTCTACAATAAATATTCACAGCACAGATCCTGTAATAAAACAATATATAATAGCCATAAAAGTCAACATGCAACAGAATGAAAGGCCAAAGTCAACAAACAGTATGTGAAATGAGGTTCAAATTGTTAAACTGGTACCAGGTGAACCTCACTAAGAAAGTCTTTCTGTATCCAAGGCACCAACTTGGAAAAAAGCCCTTTTTCTTATTCCTAAATATTATGCCACTGATAAAAGAGGCAAGAGAATAATGTTTCCAGTAGCTGGTCTCCAAGTTTTGAATTTGGATGTGGTGGGAAAAATTTGGTCTCTATATGATGGCAATGATCAATTCCCAAAACATCCCATCAGCATGACTGATTATAAGAAATGATGAGGGGTGTCATCCGAAATATCCAAAGGGCCAAAGTTTCCTCAACATTAAGACATCCTACTGTGTTTTTACAATTGCAAGAAAGATTAAAGTAATTTTTACCTTCAAAGACTACAATAAAAAGTTAATTTTCCTCATTAAAATTGCAAATAAAGATTAAAATAACCCTTTTTACCTTCAAAGACTGCAATAAGAAGTTAATTTTGCTCTGTCTCACAACTCCATTAATCAGTATAAATTGGTGCTGATTTGAATTTTCTGAATCCTGAACCTTCACCTCAAGTTTGAAAAGGTAATCGTGAGGAAAATATGTGGGGGCAAGTAAGTGTGTGTGCAAAACAGTTTTGTGAAGCGTTAAAATTTGAAAGACAAAAAACATCGCACTCCAATGATTAACTTTTGCCAGCTTCTTATTATTGCCAGCTACCTTGATTTGAATTAGGTGGCTGCCAGTGGAAGACGCCATTTCCTCACCCCACTAGAATGCATTGATGTCATGACATTCCGGGACATTACTCAGAACAATGTTACTAGCAACAGCCAGGAGTACTGGTGAATCTCCTGGGTTTCCCCCCCAAAATTATGTTTGAACAAACAGAGTCAAGAGAGACAACACTCCAATTTCACAGCCACTGAACACCTTGCAAAAAATTGTAAAGGCCATTTTATCTCTAACCAGACAAAATGATTTAATGAGGGTGGTGCCATAATCATTGCTATGTAGAATGCAGGAGAAGGGTGGAATTCCAGTGAGGTTAACAGGTTCTGCCATAACACACGTAAAAATGTCAGTAACAATGCAGAAGAGACCTAAATTTCACCAAACAGAAAATGGAGCTTCTCCTGGCAGATGTGCAAAATCATTTTAATCCTCTCTCTCTCTCTCTCTCTCTCTCTCTCTCTCTCTCAGTTTTAGAAATTATCAGTGTAGGCTAAAAAAAATGTATCATACAGATTGATTAAAACAGAGATGTGGAAAACAATCACCTCAGGTAATTCCAAGAGCAGAGCTTGTCAAAACAATGTGATATATATATTTGGCTGGGCTATCTTGCTTTAGAGTTAGAATCATCATCCCACAAAGTGAAAGCAAACACACTGCAAAACATCACCCCAGCATGCTGACTTTCTATGCGCAGGAAGGAGCTTTCGAAGTTAATGCTAAAGCTTTTTTAAAAAGAATCTTCCTTTATCATCTCTTTCTAGATGTACAGTATATATCCCTAACAAGCAATAATGATGGTTATCTTAGCCCTTTGTGTTATATGCATAAATCCTACTCCCTGAAATAGCAAGAGCCTGAGAAAAGCATTAAGGATCCCACATTCTATTGTACTTTTTTGCTGTTTATAAGAGCCTTGAAGTAAAATTTGCCTTATCTCTCCACAGGGTTTTGACTTTCCATCTCATCAAGTACAGTACATTACAAGATGATGCTTCAATTCCTTTGTGGTAGATCCTGCCTTCCTTCCTTACCTCCCTCCCTTCCTGTCCTGCATGATAGGACATCTGACCTTCATTAGTCTCTAATTCACATGTGGTCTAAAATTAGTGTCATTTCTTAAATCCATGACCAGCAGATGCAACTTCTCCAGAAATGAGCAAACAATCTATCTTTTTTCTACGTCTCACCTGAATTTCAGTTTAATCTCTCAATTCAAAGGACAAGTTATCATGGCCAAGAAAATCCAGAGGTCTGCAATTCTGATTTTTTGCCCAGATTCTCACCTCATTCAGTTCTTGAGATAATGACTTTCAAAACATGCTACATCCGTGTCCATCGCACTTGCATCTTTGTTCTTGTTTATACTGAAAAATCTTGCTCTCCTATTATTTACTAATTGTTCTAAATTGGGAATAGTTCCATCTGAGTTTTTCCATCCATGTGTCTCCTTTTTTGGGCACCACCAAAGTGTGAACATAGCAGGAAAGGAGAATTCCCAGCCACTGAAGCCACGGTGAAGGCCCCTTGTCGACTCCCTCATTTTCTATGAACAGAGGCAATTTTCAGCTGAATGGACCTACATTTGTCTGTCAGAGAGCCCCACACTTGGGCAAGCCCATCATCCATGGCCGTGGAAAGGAAGTAGAAGACAAGAGGGTCTAGAAAGGCATTGCATGCAGTTAGAATCAGAGCTATGCTACGCCACCAGACATTCTGCATTTTGATGAATCCCACAATGTGAGATATATTATAAGGACCAAAACAGAGGACAAAGACAGAGAGGGTGGCTGCTGCCACCCGGACCGCACGGTGCTTCTTCCGTACATGGAGGTGTGACCCAACCAAGACACGGATGCAGGCGGTGTAGCAGAACAAGGTGATTGCCAAGGGGAGGAAGAATAGCACCACGGACAGCTCTAGCCTCACAGGTGCCATCAAGGCCAGTTGGGCTTCAGTCAAGTTGCTGTAGCAAGAGGATCCATTGCCAGCAAAGAGTCTCAAACTGATGTCCCCAGTGGTCTCCAGGACGAAAATCAGCATCCCGTGGAGTCCTACTAGGCACCATATCCCCAAGGAGACGAGGAACGAGTAGCAAGGCTTCTTATAAACTTGATACTGGATGGGGTAGACCGTTCCCAAAAAGCGTCCCACACTCACAGCAGTCAGGAAACAGATGCTGGCATAGATTGTGCCAAAGTGGATGAGATTGTAAAGTGCACAGAGGAACTCCGGCATGGTCCAGCCCACTTTCCCCATGTCTAGCATCTTGAGGGGCAGGAAAAGAATAAAAACCAAGTCAGAGAGACAAAGGTTGATCATGTAGATGAGGTTGGGTGTCAGATGGGCTTTGGCACGGCAGTAGAAGACATAGAAGGCCAAAGCATTGGAAGGCAGTCCCAGAATGATGGTTACCCCATAGACTACCAAAGAGATGACCGTCCAGACTTCCATAGCATCAGGAACAGAGGGCAAGCTGAGCCGAAGGCATTTGTTCCTATTGCGATTTGCCTACCTGCTTCTCTTCTCCATTCTGCAACTGGTTTCCTAACAGAGCTGAGGATGTCTCCAGCCGAGTGGAAAGCAGCTGGGTGTGAGAACAGCATAAGAGAGGAGCATGGAGCAAGCAGCTCTGGAGGTGAAATGGACCATGATAGATTATTTGATGGGGGGTGTACCCAGGCAATAAAGCCATAATCTCCCTGAACGCTTAGCAAAAAGCAGAAGTTCTTAATGGCCCGTGTCTGAATTGATCATAGAAACAAGGAGAAATAAGTGACTAGGAAACAGGAACAGCTGAAGTTTTGTAGTTGAGTCACCTTTAGGAGCACAGAGTCTGGAGCACAGATAGGGCTCTTATTATGGGATCCATGACTTTCTTTGGCTTTCTTGTCTTCTGCAGAATATAAATAAGTTGTTTAGCTTCTGGGACCTTGAACAAAAAGATTAGAACATGTATTTCTTTCATGATTCATGTCAGAGCATTGTACAATTCAAATCAGGGGTGCCCAGGAAATATAAGGTAAAGGTAAAGGTTCCCCTTGACAATTTTTGTCCAGTCCTGTTCGACTCAAGGGGGTGGTGCTCATCCCCATTTCCAATCCATAGAGCCAGCGTTTTGTCCAAAGACAATCTTCCGTGGTCACATGGCCAGTGCGACTTAGACACGGAACGCTGTTACCTTCCCACCGAGGTGGTCCCTATTTATCTACTTGCATTTGCATGCTTTTGAACCGCTAGGTTGGCGGGAGCTGGGACAAGCGACGGGTGCTCACTCCGTCGCGTGGATTCGATCTTACGACTGCTGGTCTTGTGAGCCTGCAGCACAGGCTTCTGCGGTTTAGCCCTCAGCACCACCACATCCCCCGCAGCGCCACCACATCCCAGGAAATATAGGCAAAATCAAAAACCAATTAAAATCTCAAGACAGATTGTTTTTGACCAGAAGTGGTCAGCGCTTGAGAGGTGTGCCGAAATTTTCCCTCGATTTCAGCCTTCATGTAGGGGGTCAGAGTCTATGAAGTGAGTGGGTTCAGTGCTGTTCTAGTGCAACATGTTTGGAAGTGAAGGATTTGTTGGCTGCACACCTTTGTATTCCAGAAGATTTTTTAAATGATCAAGTCCTGTCATTTTTTACGACGACTTCCTAGTTCTTTGTGATAATGAGTTTTCGGTTTTTCCTTTTGTTTCATTTATTTTAAAATGTTGGCTGAAATCCAGCAGTAGGTTGCAACTAGAGTAGGCCCACTGAATCGATGGGGATCTGGTCAGTCAACACCTCTGTAGGTTTCATGGATTTCTTGCACTTAATTTAGTTGTGATTTACTACTGGATTTCATCCATTATTTCCTAACCTGATCTTTGCTCTCCCCTTTGGTAAGTGATCCCCCACTATGACTCACACACCATGTAACTGTTTAAGTGGATCAGATCCTCTTCATCCTTTTACTTTTTTTAAGTCATCAGATACTCTATAGTTTTTTCAAACACCCAAAATATTTATTTAAATTCTGTGTCAAGAGGCATTTTGTTTCACAAGGGTGAGAAAAATAGACTGAGTGATTCAGGGAGGAAGTATGCTCTGATGTAAGGTAAAAAGTTCATTTTCTGTTTTTTTTTTTAAAGAAAGGCAACTTGAAAGCAGCAGTTAACTGTAAATCCTCCATTCTGGAGGAAGCAATCAGTTATTCAATTTTAATTAGGTTTGAATAAACACACACACACAAATACAAAGTCACTCAATTAAGATGCTACCAAGAGAAACTGCACCTCACTTTCTCCATAGTGGTTGTAACAGAAATGTCTATATATCTGTCCACTATGGAGTGTGTGCCATTTCAGTGGAATACAATACCCACAGAGGAAGTTATATCTTAGAACAAAATGAACACCACACTGACTGCCTCAAAACACAGAGTCCCTTCCAAACATTCCCTTCAAACCCTTAAAACAAATCTCATAGCCTTTTGCAAGAAATAATGTTTACCGAAGCCTTGAGTATTATTTTCTCCCCAAACTGCAGAGCTTGTGACACTGTGAGACTGTGTAGCTATTTCTGCCATGTGCCACTGCACTGCTTCCTCAACTTCTATATTGGAATTGATTAAAAAAAAAAAAACAGACACCCTGGAGTCCACAATGATGTTCCCTTACTTCTCTACTACAGGTGTCTTCAAAAACAGCCTGATAAATTCAAACCTTAGGAAATTAAAATTTTGGTACAGTTTTATCTGTATGCCAGGAAGATCACCATTGTCATAACATCCAGTTGATTCTAACTTAAGGTGACCCTTTCCAGGACTCTCTAAGGACAGAATAATTAGAAGTGATCTACTATTCCTTTCTTCTGAGTGCATTTTGGGAGTATCTAAATGAAGACTATAAAATCTGACTTCTGGGAGACACAGTGGAAAATCAAAGTCCTGACTGTTAGTTGTTGTGGGTTTTTCGGGCTCTTTGGCTGTGTTCTGAAGGTTGTTCTTCCTAATGTTTCGCCAGTCTCTGTGGCCGGCATCTTCAGAGGACAGCACTCTGTGTTCTGGTGCAGTTTGTTTGGGAGTTGAGTATTTATGGCTGTGAGATCAGCTTTTGTCCTTTTCAGGAGATGGGTGACTATGGTGATCAGTGTGTTTTTGTTGTGGGTGTATTGTTGTGATAAGGAGGAGAGATGATCTGTCAATGTGATTGATGGGTGTCGTTAGCTGGTCTTTTGTGTGTAGTGATCCCCGGTCCTTGTGGCTGGGTAGAGTTTGTTGACCTTTTGTACGCTGTATTTTTCAGAGCTGGGAGCCAAGTTTTGTTGAGTTTCAACCTTTCCTCTTTTTTGTTGAAGTTCTGTTGGTGTTTGTGGATTTCAATGGCTTCCCTGTGCAGTCCAACATAATGATTGCTGGTGTTGTCCAGTATTTCAGTATTTTGAAATAGAATTTCATGTCCATCTTGTTTTAGGGCATGATCATCTACTGCCGATTTTTCTGGCTGTTTTAGTCTGCAGTGTCTCTCATGTTCTTTGATTCTGGTGTGGATGCTTCGTTTTGTGGTTCCAATATATACTTGGCCACAACTACAAGGTATCCGGTATACTCCTGCGGAGGTGAGGAGGTCCCTTTTGTCCTTTGCTGACCGTAACATTTGTTGTATTTTTGTGGTGTGTCTGAATACTGTTTGTAGGTTGTTGTTGTTTTCAAAAGTTTCCCCTGCGGTCCGTGACCCCTTTGATGTATGGCAGAAGTACATTATTTGTGGGTGGCTGTTTTTTCTCTTCAGTTTGGTGTTCTTTTCTTAGTTTGATGGCTCTTTTCTCAGCACCGAACTTAACCATCTGAATTGGGCCCTACAGAC